GGTTCCCCCACTCATGCCACAGCCTAGAAGGTCACTCCAGGAAATAGGCTGAGGCAACTATAGGGATTACTTCCTTTGCTTTCCAGCTCAGGATCCCTGTGCTTCACTGCCTAATGTTGATGTCCTAAAACCATTGTCTGATTACATTTGGGCTGAGTTTTTTTGGGTTTGTTTCAGATCAGAAGTTAAGTCTGATCCTTCTCACTCCATCTTGGCCAAAAGTAGTTATATTTTGGAATATAAAAGTTTAGCAATTGCCGTAATACTATTAAACCATGATTTTTCACCCTTGGAGAAAACAGTTCAGATTTACCTTGCTACCTATACCTCTTACAAATACTAAGAAATTTCCTGAAGATGAGAATATTTTTATGTCACCCTTTATTTTGTCTAGAGAATGGGTTGTAGTAACAAATTTTTATAGTTGGCTTTGGAAACCCTGATTATAACTTCTGGGGATTTTTTTTGTTTGTTCACTTTTACATCATATAGAAAAGAATCCACTCCTTCCTTGGAATGGGAGGTGGAAGCCTCTCCTTTCTAGAGCATAGCAGGTTGGTACCCAGTTTAGTAATTCCTGCCCTCACTCATGCTCATGACCGGCTGGAAGGAAATTTCTGGTCCCCCTGCCATTTGCTCGTCACCTTCCCCACACTAGCCAACCTCAGGCCAACAAGTGCCAGGACTAAGTAGGAAAATAGTGTGCTATTTGGTGGAATTTTCTGGAATAAATTTAGATCTATTTAAGAAAAATAAAGCCTACCCAAGACCACAGGGAACTAGGCACGTGTGCTACCTGGGGTTGCTGCAGATGCCAGTATGCAAGAAACAGATTTCCTTTCTGCTAGGATGTTGGCCAAACTCATGAAGTGCTTTTCCCTAAGCCAGAAGGCTGTCTGTCTAAGTTGCGTCCTGTCCTTCTTATTCACAAGGGTTAAGGCCATGGGCCTCCTCTGATGTTGTAAATACACAGATTCCAGTGCTGCACTGTTTGTTTATCACATCAGTTAAGCTTCCAGCTTTAAAATTAAACCAAGCTTTTTTATCCATTAGAATCCTCTAGACAGTGAGCGGATGGCTGCGGATGAATTTTTAATATTCTCTTTCCATTTTTAAGGGCTGCATTCTCCCCAGTGCTCTTGCCTTTGCACGCAAGTGGCTTGCATTCACCTCTATGAGAATATAAGGTTACTGGCTTTTCCCCTAAGCTGCCAGTTGTCGCTGGGACTATCACAGATTCTATCTGGCCCTTGGGTGGCTGACAAGAAATTGTGATTGGGGCAAGATTGATATCCTGGGAGAATGTTCTGGATTTAGAATGTGTCCTGAACATGTGAGATCTGTCAGAGATGCTGTAGAGGAGGCCAGCAGTTTGCCGAAGTGGCAGGAGCCCTGGACAAGAAGTCAGAAGCAGGAAATCCAGGCTGGGTCCCTACTGACAGTGGATCGCCTCGGGTCAAAGACGGGGCCTCATTCCTTTGCACTCCCCGCTGGACCTTGCATTATGTCGCTCAGAGTAGGAGCTTAGTAAAAGCTGTCAAATATTTTGGTTCCCCACAGAAACATGCGACATGAAGTGTGCCACGTGAAATTGTCGCTGTCTGTAGGTCATGGCAAAACACTGGTCTAGGTACTTCTGTTCACAGATTTCATACTGAAGAGTTGCTCTGGGGATAAACCTCAGTAACAGTTGGGAGGTTTATTAAGGCACTCGTTAAAAAACTCGTTATTGCTACTCTCTTTTTCACTTCATTTGAAGACTCCAGAACCATCAATAAGCCTCATTTTGAATGTCTTTATTCATTAATCGACTTCCTAGTTCAAGTGAGTAGAAATCAGAAGGCTATTGTAGGAGACGGATTCTTTGGAAGGAGTCCAAACACACATACGAGGCTCTGCCTGACTGGGGAGAGAGGTCAGTGGCTTGCCTGCCGGCCTAGAAGCTCTGACCACCGCAGACGCTATATAAATACTGCAAGTAATAGGGAAGGAGGTGATAACAAAGCCTTCCAGCACCTGGACATGTCCTCAGGAGACATGGCACGCCCCCCCCCCCCCCCATTTAAAGCATTTCTCCAGCTCTTCCAGAAAAACACGGGTGTAAGAGGTCAGAAGTGAGGCACCTCAGACACCTCTTCTCAGTGCCAAGCGTGTGCTCCATGAGCAACACGTGATCACTGCCTTCCAGAAGATTCCCATCATGCTCCCGTACCCCCTTACTTCCTAAGCCGATTGGTATTTTAGCTCCATTATGTGCTGGCTTTTAGGAGAAGGCAGCAGAAGCACACACAATCCTCAATTTTTAGTGAGACAGGTGAAGCTGGCTGTGTGTCAGTCATTTTATTTCAACATAAGTTCTCCGTCTCTAAGATGATAGAGGAGCCCATGCGGCTGTCCTCACACACCGTCCTAGGGACAGTGTGACATGTGGGTGGACAGGAAAGTAAGCGACAGAACAGTACTTCAGGGAGCTAACTATAGACATACTTAACAGAAACTGACAGCGCACAAAGGATACTTGTTTTGGTGAGGACCAAAAATATGCTGCTGATAGTAAAACGATTATTGGTTCTAGACAGAATCCTAGCAGTAGACTTAGAAAATGGCAGGACCCTTATCAGCTAAAGCAATAGACAACTCCAGAGCCAACCTTGTTTCTCTGCATTTCCTTCCAATAGCCTTAGCACCGGGGTCTGAGCCTCAGACGGGGCTGGGACAGTTGGTGGGGTGCCAAGTGGACCGTGGACCAAGAATCCCAAATGAAGATTGGTTCCAGGAGGTAGTTTGGTGTCAGAAGGCCTCAGATCTTAAGTTCGTAGGGGAACGTCTGTCTTGACTCAGAACATCATTTTGGTGTTCCCATGAGTAGAAGGTGGACTGAGTGGACTGATGTTCAGTAACATAACTGCATTGGTACCGAAATGAACACTGGGAATAGGATTTCACCAAATCCTTTTATGCTGTCCATTTACTGCTGAGTATTGTCGCTGACCTAACACTGATGGCAATGATGAAAATAATAGTAAAAATAACCATAACAGGGGTTAAATCTGACAGCCAAAGACACACAACAACATGAGTGCTTACAATATGCACAAGTTCAGAGATGATTCTTTATGCTAGATTGCAATTATCTGTAATTCACTGAGCTACAAGTAGGTTTTATGATTTCCTTTAGATTTCGAAAAGAAGTGCCTTCGATTGTAATGGTGTCGGGTACCTGGTACCTCAACACATTCCATGAAACTGGAATGTTTTATAAAATCATCAGCCACGCCAATAAAATGGTAAAGAGTACACATGGAAAAAAAAATCGACCTTGGTTCTTAGGCTGTGTCTTAGAGTTTAATTCAGGCAGCACTAACATCTCCCGCATGTTGTTAGTAATTATTTTTCTTTTGTTACCAGTATTGAGAATGTTAGGATTAAGCACATATTAAGAGTGATTTGCCTACAATGAGCAAGTGAATTTTCTGGATTATTATGGACACCACCATTGTAAGGACAGTTTTAAGGGAGCATTAATTGCACGTTCTACTACTCCATTAAGCCATAATAGTTTAAGATACATCATATGTGAGGTTGCATTGTGATCTCTGATGATTCCTTAAGAAGAAGATTTAATTAAAATTAGTACGGTTACCATTAAATTAACACTCAGAAGTGTTTAGATCAGTTAACCATCTTCTCCCCTTAAAACATGAGGCCACCTGGGTGTTCCGTAGAGTAAGCCTGTTACCCTGCTGTGTCTATTGTATCAGGGACAGAGGAGACCACCATTTTCGGACTGGTCTTCTCTGTTACTCCCTGATATTTTGGAGGGGCCAAGGGAGACAAAAGACCTTTTGAAATATTAAAGTTTCTTCACGATTGTGTGCTCAGCGTCCGTGTCATGTTCTCTCCCTGAGCAAAGGGAAGAACGTGCTTGGGAGACACACGTCCACTGTCCACCACTGCCAGGCTGGTCTGCAGCTCACACAGGAAGCACGGGGTCCTGAGGGAGACTCCTGCTTACCCTGGGCCCTGACCGTGATGCAGTACCTGTCTCTGAGCTCCTCCCTGGGGCCTTGCCTTTACTCCCCCAAGCGTCCACCTCATGTCATTCTCCTAAAAGCCACCCCACCCCGTCCCCAGCTCCTGGTGGAGTTTCTGGTCCCTTCCTCAGTGTTTGCCTGGATCCAGGAGCCTCATCTCAGAGGGTCTGTGAGCCAAGGGAAGAAATGAACACTTTCCTTATACCTCAGTGGAGCACAGCGCAGAGAGGGGTCCGCGCAGGTCAAGTGCTGTCTTACACTCAAAACATCATTCTGGCTATTGTGCAGTATAAGTAAAAAAAAAAAAAAAAAAGGTAAAAGAAGCAGGGCTTTGCATTAGAAAGTTTTGGGGGGGTTATGGGGGTTATGGGGGCTTGGACTGGACCTGTTAGCCCTGGAGATGGCATGAGTGGTCACATGGGGGAAGAATTTGGGGGGCCATTGATGCTGTAGGAACTTAATGCCAGGAATCCCTAGAGTAGAGGTCATTAGAGGCATGACTTGACCCTGACACCAGAAAGAGCAACCACAGTAAGGGGGAGAAGGCGCTGGTAGGCGTTGGTCCTGGAGGCCAGACTACAAGGCTGCGAGGTTCTAACGCTGGGTTCAGCCGAGATCGACTGATTTATTCCCTGTTAGACATTTTCACAGAGGAATCCCCTTGAAGAAAACGAAAGAAGCAGCCCCGCGTCGATCTCTCTAAGCAAACCTGGAAGAAATGCCGGGAGCTGGAAGAAATCTGGCAGTTTTGTCCGTTATTCTTTCCCTGACCATGAACCTCTGCTATTTAAGTCCCTGTCTGGTTTTGGTTTTTCTTTTCCTTTCAGCACCTGAAAGGACACATCGCGAGCAGTGCCTTCTCGGCCGCTTGCTCGTGATGAAATCCTTCGGCACCGAAGAAGCTGTTGTCCCGCTTGGGGTGAGTGTTCTCCCACAAGTGACCGTTTGTACTGTCTTCCCCCGCAGGACACCCCAAACAGCGGACGGCGGCTCCCCGAAATGGGTTTTCCCCGAAGCCCGACCTGCAGGTGCGTGAAGCCGAGCGGCAGCTGGTGCAGCGGCTGAAAGGCAGGTGCCAGCAGCAGGCCAGGCATCTGGGGCTCGTCCAGGCGGAGCTGCGCAGGGCCGTGTGCGCCTTCCAGGCCCTCGCCGTGTCCACCCAGTACTTCTCCAGAAAGGTGAGGCCGCGTTTGGTGCACGTCCGGGGGCCTCTTGTCGGAGGGGAGGGCAGTGATGGTGATGGTGACCTGGGAGGCTGTGTGTTTCAGTTTGGGTCTGGGGTCAGAGACCAGTTTGATGTTCAGAAGGTCCTGCAGAATCCCAGCAGTGACATCGAATGCTCAGGGAGCCAAGTTGGTACTTTTTGTGTGTGTGAAAGAAATCAGTCTGGGAAGAGTGATTTTGTCACCTTGATTTCAAACGGGAGAGTGCTATAAAAGAGAAAGGAGAAGGTAGAAAGGAGCCTTTCGACAACGGTGAGTGCTTTGAAGAGAATGAAACTTGAGGTCGTTTGCATTTTAGGGACGAAATGGCCGAATTCTAAAATGTCCGCACATTTCATAGAAGAGGGACGCAGGGGCACAGCGCTGGTTTTGGCCGTTGAGGGGACAGTGGCTGTGCCAGGCCGGGGGGCATCTGGCCCAGGAGTCAGGGCCAGGCTCACAGTGTTCACAGCGCAGCATGAGGGAGAGGGCATCCTCTCTGCTCCGCTGGCCTTTCTGAAAATGCAAAACGGGCTGGCTTCTTCCCAGCACATGAGTTGTCCAGAGGCTCCTGGGGCCATGCAGATGCTGAGTCTGTTAGGAGCCACGGTGTAGCAAAGCTTTCCTACCTCTTGATGTGGAACAGAGGTTAGAGAGAGCCTGGTATCTGATCCAGTGCATTTGTGCTCCAGCAAGAAGTGGCCAAGCCATGTTTGGGGGAGAAAATGAACGGTCCCCTTCAAGGTTTAAACATTATGACTCTGCATATTAGAAACCCATAGGGCATTTTGAGTTTCGTACATGGACCTTCTGGTACCTATAAATGGGAGGAAGTAAAAATGCTATATAGATGCTCTCCAAATAAGAAGATGAACTAACTACCTAATACCAGGCTAGTTTAAAGAAGAAAACCAAAAGAATGTTAGGTAACCCTGTGTCCACAGGCTTTGTATATTTTCTTCACATGAAAGCATGGAGGACTCTGGCTTTTGATGATCTCGTACACCCTCCCCTGCCCCTAGTGCACAAGTCTGAGCTGTCTGTCTACTTTTTGTTGTTTCCTGTTTCACTTAACGCTTTCAGCAGAAAGAGCCTATTACCCATTTGTTGGCATAATGAAAGACAAGGAAAACAGATTTCAGTTTCATCAATAGTTTCAGCGTCTCTGCCCGCCAAAATGTTAACAACGAACAAACAGTCCATTTGAATTTCACACCTTCTGGTCTGCTCCCATCCGTGTCACCTGTGAACCCTGAAGTGGCTGTAGACCCAACCTCATAAGAATTAAAATTACACATTTCTGAGGTAGCGAAGAGGCCTGGCTCACTGTTGTAAATGCTGAGCAGTTTCCTTATTCGAGAAAGAGTGACACATTTGTTGTTGTTGTTGTTTAGCTAGATGCTCATTTTCTCACTGGCTGTCAAATCTTTAATAAAGAGAGGAAAACAGAGTTATTCATTGAGGTTCTAATAACATTTATGTTGGTACTGTGCCCTTCTTGAGTTACCCTTCCCAGGCATCATCCATCATAACAAATCTTTATTTTTTTTCTTCATTTTATTTCCACTATAGTTAACATACAGTGTTATATTAGTTTCAGGTGTACGATGTAATGATTCAGCTCTTCCATGCATCACCCGGTGCTCATCTCATAACTGGGACTCCTGGCCCTCGTTTATGCCTTTATGGCAGAGAAGGGAGTTAGTTCCTGTGCAGAAATTAAGGGTTGGTTCCCTGGAGTTATCTATTTCTGTGCCCCCGGCATATTCCTTGTTGGCCCACGGACCGAGAGTTTTATTTCTGTGCAGCATACACATGGCCCTTAAATCAGAGACCAAACAGGGCCATCAGGTGATTTGTAGGCACCTCCCTCAGACCTCCTAGTACTCGAGCTGCACTCGGTGTGACATTTCAGCAAGAAGGATGGCAGACATGAATTTCATTTTCTTTTCGGTAAATCACAACCAGCCGCTCCAGACAGGCTTCCCAAACGGCCATGGCATTTCACCTCCCACACACTGTGTGCTTTTCTGTCTTTCTGATCTCAGTTCTCTCTCCAGATAAACCCCAGAACTAAAAATGAGCATGTTAAAAAAAAAAAAAATCTGTAATCGAACGTAAGTGGCTTTTGCACAGGCTACCATGTGTCCTCCGTGGTTAGGGTAGTTGATTGGAGAGTCTGCCAGTAACACCAGATTAGACCAGGAGGTATGATGTGGGGTGAAGCACCTGGGAAAATAGAGGCACAGCCATCAGCTAACTTCCAAGGATGAAGCCCTCGATGACAAGGTCTAGTGGTGCTGAGATGCTCGGTATCACTCTCGTGGGAAGCCAGTGCGTAATTATTACCTGCAGGAACGTTCAGAGCAGATCATGCCAGCCATGAAGCACGTGGCCCCTAGAGCCAGTGTGAAAAGGCAGTCTCTCTTTCCTCTTCTGGTGGGAAGACTCTGCCGTGTTTCTTGGAACTCTACCCATGTATGGTATCTACACTGTAGCATATTTACCTGCAAAGCATGGTGAGAGTCCAGGGCCAGCAAGAGCCAGCCCCCTCTTCACCTCCATCTATGAATGAGACCTTGAGCAAGTACCTGCCCCTCTCAGACCCTTGTCACATCACCTAAAGGAGTAACATCCTAGCCCTTGCTCTGTCTCCAGTAGCCGCATCCTCTCTGACCAGTCATCCCTGAGTCTTGGTTTTCTCAATTTCACATAGGGTTAGTAATAGTGCTTCACAATAATAGAGAATGTAGTAAATTAATAGGCTAAGGTACTTCAAACGATTATTGAAAAAACATTCTTTTTTTTAATGTTTATTTTTGAGAGAGAGAGAGAGAATCAGAGCATAAATGGGGGTAGGGGCAGAAAGAGAGGGAGACACAGAATCTGAAGCAGGTGCCAGGCTCTGAGCTGTCAGAGCCTGATGTGGGGCCTGAACCTACACACTGCAAGATCATGACCTGAGCTGAAGTTGGACACTTAACCGACTGAGCCACCCAGGCGCCCAGAAAACACACACACACACACACACACACACACACACACAAACACCATTCTTTTTGAGTACAAGAAGATCTGACAAAGCCCTTCTCTCAAATATTTTACTCTCCAGTAGGACGAACATATGAATAGATGAGATACACAAAGTTAAAACACAGTACAAACCACTCGTATTTCATATGTATATATGTACATAGTGTGGCCTGGAGTGTACTTTAAGGAGGAAATCATTTTCTAGGCTAGCTATTCAGCTGCTGCTATATATTTTTCCCAGAATGTGCTGATGCTGCTAAGTATGTATTGGAAGTAAGTCTCAGTGTATGGGAAGTCACCAGAAAAAAGGAATTAGAAGCCTAGATAAGAATCTTCCATTTCTGCCCCGTGCTTCACAGCTCCTGGCAGAGCAGCTGTGAAAACTGTCAGCTGCGACACAGCCTGAGCCCGGTGTCCAGGGATTTTAAGATGCCACATTTAGGTGCGAACATCCGCCTCTCGCTGGTGCCGGTTCCAGACAGTGCCATCCCTGTGGCAGGGCCTGGTCCTCACCACGGGACAAACAGACCTGCTGAAATCTGTGGTCCCAGACCTCCGGATGGTGTCGAAACGAGCATGACACTCTCAGACTCGGCACTTTTAGAATGGAGTTGAATGATTTTTTTTTTTAAATCTGTTTCTTGTTCCCCGGGAATGTTACTCTTTAGCGGCCCCTCGTGGCGTATCCGGGAAACAGCCCAGACAGTGATCCTGTATTAAATGGTTTGCCTTGCTTTGTAGCTCCAAGTTTTATATATCTGAGTTTTTTTTATTTTCATCTTATTTTTAGTAAGATTTATTACATTTATTCTATATTTTTCATATTGATTTATGTCATTTTTATCATTAACTGAATGTACATAGATAGTACATGATGGTTTTTAATTTTTTAATTTTTTTATTAAATAGATAAAAGACTTGAAAGCTGATGTCAAACATTTGTGTACTATATAAGCCTATTAAAATTCAGAATGCGTCAGCCCCCTTTCTCTTTCTCTCTCTCTCTCTATATATACATATATATATTGCTTTTACTAGTTGACCTTATATCACATAAAAATTTTAATTATAGGCACTTAGAAAGAGGACCATCCAAACACCCATCGTTTATATTTAATACTTATTAACATCTTGCTATATTTGATGAGAGCTTTGGGGGTTATAGTGGAGTTCGTGGGGTCCAGAGCCGACAGCCAAGTAAGAATTCTCGAAGATGTCTTTGGTGCAAAAAGGTGATTTAATTGAAGCACGGGACAGGACCAGGAGCAGAGACTGGTGTTGGGGGAGTTCAAGTCCAGGGGAAATTTCCAGGGAGAGTTTCATATGCTAAAGACTCACTGAGCACTGGAGGCCCAGCTATTGTCAAGCTACGGTGGTTTTTCCCTCTAGCAAAGCATTAGCATGAAGACAGTAGGGAGTTCGGGAGAAACAGATGCTACGCCTGCCTCAAGGACTTGTCCATGGGCTGCAGGTTAGTTATAAGGAAATTTAATTTTATCTGCCATTTACCTCTGCCTTTGTTTCCCACATCATATTCACTCTTCTATGTTTTTGTTGTTAGTTAAGGGCACACATTTTAAAACATAGTTTTTATATTTCAACTTCAGCTTTTCAAGTCATTTATGCTAGTGGAAGATTTTAATCAATGCAGCGTCTCCCCCTATGAAGAAAACTAGACCAAAATCACACATCACAATATTTGTAATGTGTGATTTTGCTCTAATTTTCATTATCAGTCTAGTCACAAGCTTATCAATTTTACTAATCTTTTCAGAGAACTAACTTGTGTCATTGATTTTCTCAACTGGTTGTTTTCTGTTTCATTGACATTTACTCTTATCCATATTATTTAGGTCCTTATAAATTTTTTGTTTAATTGGATTTTTAGTTTTTTTTAAGGAGAATGTTTTTATTGTCGATCTTATTTCTTTTTCCTGCTAGAA